CCATGCCAGAGTGGTCAAAAAAAGTGTTCGCTACCACTCTGTGCTTTCTGGCAGCTGATCAGCGAGTTCGTTCGAGATACGTGCGGGTAGTGTGAGTGTGAGCAGCTTTGAATCGACACACCAGTTCAGTAGAGAGGGTGCCATGCACGTAGGGGGCACGCGGTTGCTTCGTGCACACTTCCACACCTTTAGTTCGGTCTAAGCGTTGGCCGATATGTGAATGTTAGAGGTGAGACTCCGGAATCGATGTGGTCTCTGTTAACCGCTGTGGAGCCTGCGGAGTCCGGCACGCAATTTGACAGCTCTTAAGTTTACACAAGTGCAAAAGGCACAGGTTAACCAACCGCAACTCGCAACGCTCAAGGCAGTTGTTGACATGCTGTGATGTTGGCCTGCACAAGCATGACTGCTGGTTGAAGACTGTATCTTTGCTGAAGCATGTAGGTGCAGGAGTCGGATCGTGGTCGCAGTGCGCATTAGCCTCGGATTTGCTCTACATGTGTGGAATCAGCCAATCGAGACCGCGACTCTCGATCCTGCGGCTGTTTTGCAACCTAAGGTCAGAACTGATATACCTTGCGGTTTGCGCAGGGCCCGATACCCAGATCCTCACGTTGGAGGATTGCATGCATCCGGCTCATTTCTGTTTCAAGCCTAGAATCGAGGTTTCAACGTGCTGGGTATTCACCTGTTCAATCCTTGCAGGCCTCTCAAGGAGATGTTTCCGGATCTGGTGGTGTGGTTTTCGCGGTGCACAGGTTTGTGGATGCTGTTTTTCTTAGAGGTTTAGGTGTCGCCAAATGTCTGGAAGCAGCAGCTTGCCCTTGAGTGGATCCGGCAAGGGGAACTTCGACACAGTGTGGAGCAGGCCCAACTGTCTCAAGCCACTGCTCTTTCGCAGGCAGGTGGTCGGGTGGATCTGGGCAGCAAGCTGCTCAATGAAGACTTGTTAACCTCAAGGCCAGCAGTGACAGCATGTTGCGAAGTTCAGGTGCCACAATTTTAATTGATAACACTCACATCGCGAAGGATTCATTCGGAGGAAGTGTTGGGAGCGGTCGAGGACTCGCTGAAAAGCCAGGCTGTCAAGGCTCAAAGTTGATGTTGACTCTCGGCAGTCTGGCCAGCCTGATCTTCCGTGTGTAACGACGTTCGCATTTTTTCCAGGATTTAAGGTGCAGGATTCAACGGCTATGTGGATATGTCTCATGGATGTCAACACAATGTCAGGCACGGTAACCAGCGTCCACCAGCCGCATGGATGGAGGTGTTTGTCTTGTTTGTGTTCTGCCCATTCGTGTATTACCGCTGGATTTGTTCACGACCATTGATGCCTTGCAAGCTCTAGTCTCTGCATGAAGTACTAGAAGTGACAGTCTCCCTCCTACGAGTCCCTCAAGCTTACGAGTCCGTTACCGAGCGACTTCTGACCCTGAAACGAGCATCTTTGCTTCACATTGCGACCCGTGCCGGTATCGTTGTCGCAGCTCGTTTTGCAGCTTCAGGGCAGTTCTGTCTTTTGATTTCGTTTGAAGCAAGTCCCACGTTTGAGATCGGGAGTCTGGAAACATCGGCATTAAAGCAAGTAGCATCGTTGTATATCGTTGTCAAATGAATAATACTTCTTTTTTACAGTTGGACAACCTGCACGCACGCAAATCGTTTGCTGCAGAGTCGTGCGGCAGGATCATCTCACGCAGAGCATGCCGGGAGGAATGGCCGCGTCAAAGTCTCAGTCTGAGTGCTAGTTTTGATACTCTTCTCCCAGGAATAAAAACGAAACTGCGGCCAGGTAGATGCCGTGGATGTATCGCCGCAGCGACATGTCATTGCACCGCCAGGAAAAACTCGGCCGCCCTTCAGCAGACCGCCCGGAGCTTGTTGAGCGTCTGTAAGTCGTAAGTGTCGGTTTTAGGAAAGCTGGCATGCCTCAGCAATGTACAGGGGCGTATGCACAAGCACCCCGAAAATACTGTTCAAGGTGCTCCTACCGCAGTTTAACCTTGGCGTGGCCCTCACGGCATTCGAGGTTCGCTCGATGTTGCAGCCTGGGGTGGATGGCGTGCCACAATCATGCAGTGAATCAGGTCAAGCATATGCGATGACTATCCAATACGGATATGTCCGGGCCCCCAAGCTGTTGAGACCCTCTGTTATGCTGTTGTCTTGATTCTAGCCGCTCTTTCCTTCAATCACAACAACCGTAAATTGCGAAAAGCCGCCTTCCGTGTCCGTGCATTTTCGTCTGGTAGGAAAGGGGAAAGACACCTGCGATCGAGCGAAAGGAAGAATGGACGGAGCAGTGAGACAGATGGACCATGCCACTGAACTTGGGTAAACTGGTTACTTTTGCGATCGAGGTCCTTCGAAGGGCTCAATCACGATTGCAGCACCAGCCTCAGTGCACTTCACAACTAGCCGGAGTGGCGGCGATGAAAAGCTACTTGGGCTGTGGTGCTTCGGAACGTTTGAAGCAACGTTCAACCAGCATTTTCCTCCTCTGAACTTCGGGCAAGACTGAGTGAACATCACATCAGGGCTGTCAGGCCCAGGGAGTTCGGAGCCACAAATGCAGACATGCAGAGTTTTCATAATCTCATTCTGGCACAAGTCCTACGGGTATGGACACAGCAAGGCTAGAGCGCAGCTTGCATCCGTCCGCAGAAGGCCAAAGGGAAGCAGAGAGCTTGCACACATCTGCAGATTCCGGTTTCTTGTTGGAGCCATCTCTCAATCCTTCGCTTTTTCCTTTCTTCTTCTCGGCAAAGGCAGCCTTGTGCGAAGCTGATGCGGTTCGCAGGTTTGGACTCGTTGAGAAGCTATCTGAAGCGCATCGGCCCGGGCATGTTTCAGGACGTCTTCCTGCCAAAAGATTCCATATAGGTTCTGTAGGGCGGACGCGTGCACTTCGATCGTCTTGAAGACACATTCTCGATTTGCCTGGTCTAGATATACAAGTATAATTCTATAAGACTGAAGCGTTCGTGACAGCACTAGGACATACTAGGAGCACGTGCAGAGCTAGCAGCTCTCACATCAGCCCTTGTGCAGGACGCCATGGTTTCGGTGGAAGCGCACGTTGCCGCAAAATTGCAGGTAGAAGGTGTCTTCGGGGACCTGCAGATGCTGAAAGGACGCTTCCACAGGGCAAGGGCAGCAGAAAACTTGCTCGGAAAGCTTCGAAGTTAAATCATGCAATCTCGAGCTGTTTCGTTGCTCCTTTCGAACCTGAACGGCCCCACAGCTCCACCAGCTTAACCATCTCACGGCCTTTTCCTGCCTGTGCAACATCCTCGTTTCTCATGCCGTTTTGCTGCGTACGAAGGCGTGATGTGCACAAGGCAGAGCCGCGACTCCTCACATCATTGAGCAGATCCTGCAGGACAACTCATGAAGTCGATCGAAAGCAGGCCTGCGCCCAGCCTGCCTTTAAGTCACATTCCGATGTGCACAGATCTCCGGAGGGTGAAATAGACAGACTCTCCCAGGACGATCCTGGGTGTGACCATTTACCCTTGGGGCCGGTTGGCTAGTGCCCAATTTTGCCGCACCTGGGTATCGCTAAGATTCCAGCATAGTCACCCCAATCGTCGTGGACCCGTACGAAAGCTACCCCGATCAATGCGAGCGGTAATGCTTGCAAGGGCCCCTAAAGCTAAGAACACCAAAGGAAAGTTAGCACCATGACCTTGTCCACTCCTTACACGCACATGGGCGCATGGCTGTGCTTGCAGGCGGTCTTCTGGCCGTGACACTGGTGCAATGCTCCAGGAGGCTGTTTCCGCTGGCGAGGCCAGTGCCACTTCGACACACTGCAGCTAGCAGCTTCCACAAACCCACACATGCGAGATGCTTGCAGACTCATCCTCAGAAAGCCCACGTGGAGCTCTTTGTTGCCCCCGTCTCTCGTAACTGCTGTAACGCAAGCAAGGCAGTTGCCAGTTTAGGTTGAAGACGGCATGCTGTAGAGCTGGCAGCTCAGACATCCAAGACTAAGCTGCACAGGTTGCTTCGCTGTTGCTCGGGGCGTCTGATGTGCGCAGGCTCCGTCAGTGCTGGAAGCAGAGTACTTCTTCTCGTGTCACCCAGTCGACACACTGACATGCTCGTGGCGAACAGGTAGGCAGGTACACCGAGATTCCTGTCCGGCTGCAGGCTTCTTCTCGAAGCCGCTGCTTTTGGGGCACTCCTGTTGGAAGCGGAGTCGAAGGTCCCAACTGGACACGTCAAAGTTTGAGCATCTCGACCTTGTCGCCACTGTGTCCTGTCGAGGCTTCAGAGTTGGCCTCTTTAGTGCCATCAAAGCAACCGCGCCGGAGCCCACGGGTGGAGCCGACCACAATATCACCACTTTGACGGGTCTCGGAGACTCCTCGGAGACCTTGGCTGCCCAGGCCTCTCCGACTTCGGAGTGCAAGCCGACTGTGCGCCGCTTCCCCCGCGACCGCATTGCCTAGACTTGAGGTCTTGAGAGTTTGTGAGGTCTGGGTACGAGTCTTCGTCGCAACCAGTTGACTCAGAGCCTTTGGACTGAAACTCAGGGCTTCGTGCAGTGTCAGAGCATGCAACACGGGAGACAGCCGCGGCAAAGAATGCAAAACCCATTATGTTAGAGCTCCGTTGTGACGACGGGCCCGCCGAAGAAGCGTTTTCGATCAATTTCTCAACCTCTAGCGCCAAGCATCAGCTAGCAGTTTGAATCCTTCAGGTGTGCTAAGTAGTGTGATGGTGGACCTTGGGAGCCCAAGCTTGCTGCACAGGTGATGGCAATCCCGTCATTCCAGAGTCTGACTGATCACGCAGCTATCGGATATCGCAGCCTTGTACCTCTTCAAGGGGTTCCGACCTGTACAGGGATGCGGCGAGCGAAAGGGTTCCAGAGAGCAGCAAATCCTGCTTCAGGAAGAACGGCAAGCTCTTGGTCTTCGTGCATTGGAGCGCAAACTTCCAGCATGCTCAAATGACTTGATAAGTACTGCAAGATGTTTCTGCTGTGCCAGGGAACAAAGCAGTCACCATCCGCACCGTGGGATCGCCTGCTGGAGCCCTAATAGGCCACCAAAAGCTGATGTTCTTTGTCTGACTTGATATGTGATATATGTGATCAGACGAGCCAGCGAAAAGCTGCCAGGCCCGCGCTTCTGCCACCGAACCCTCCTACTCGTGGGGTTCATCCTCGTCGACACTGGACAGGTCACAGCAGTCAAGTGCATGTTGAACAGGGTTTGTGGGTGGGGGCTGTTCGCCGGCAAAACCATACTTTCGCACGTGGGCAGCTTTTCCGTGTCCAAGCTTATGACCCTCATGTTTTCAGCAGGAGGAGCCCGGCCAAGCTTTTCGGGTCCAGTGTCAGCATAGCCTGGCTTGTCGATCACCTCTGTCATTCTGCATTTTTTGAGTTAACATCCCGATGATGCATTCCGCGATCCTTGCCCGGTGGCGCATTCCTCAGCCGCTCCTCAGCCTTTGACTTCAACTTCGATGATCTTGGTGAACTAGCATGGTTTGTGCTCGGGGTGCACTTCGTGAACTGGGGGTTGATTTGTGCTTGATGCTCCATGATGTCTTTGAGAGGGCCGCTTGGCAGTGCTCGGGAGCTACTTTTCAGGTGGGAGCATCTGGAGCTTCTGGTACAATGGGATACATCGATTACTGTAGGCGGCCGTTACTCTTTTTAGCCTTTTGCTGCATGGTCGGCAGTTTGCAGTTCTCTATCACCTGTTACTTCCTGTGGATGTGTTCCAATCGACAGACGCCATTTGCGTGACGACGGCATGCGAAATCTGTGGTTTGTCTGGCCTTCCTCTGGCCTGCCTCGCGAGCAGTTGTTTCTTGTCAGCCCTTCTTCGTTCTGCAGAGTTCTTGTCTCATGCTCGCTAGGTGGTCCGAGCCTCGCCACGGTGCTAGACACCAGACGTCGACATGATCGAAACATGCGTGTTAAGGGGGTTTACATGGCCGTGTTCCGCTCCTCCTGCCGGGGCATTCGTGTTGCATCAGAGTCCAGAGTCCGATACTTCATCTTGTGATATGAGGCCCTGGTGATGGACTGGGCGGAGAAGCGATCATGGAAGGAGGACCGCAACGGCGCACAGTGGCTCGGCTTGGCTTTTGGGTTCTTCAGGGCAGGTTCAGGATCATCGACAAGTGCTGTGGTGTCCTGCAGTCCATTACCTGTCCATGACATACCCTTGTGTTCTACCACCGGAAACAAAGCCACCTCGCGCTGCATAATCCAATCACGAGCCGGGCAGTCATGCTGGGTTCTCGCTACGGGATCAAAGCTTTTTACTATGTGGGGAACCCAGTGAAACCTTGTACACCGAGCAGCCGGCAGACTGCCAGACTGCGTTGTGTTTTTTGATGTTCTGTCGTGGCAGGAAATGCTTTGGACATGCATTCCCGACACTTTCTGCATGTCAATGGAGCGAGGTGCCGGTTGGTTGTGTGGAGTCTGAAATCCGCAAATTGACAGTGGGTATCACCTGTGCATTCCCCAACCGCTGCTCAAGTCACTGCAGAGGTCTGCAGCGTAATCTGCTTCCACAAGCCGTGGAGGGGAACATCTGCGCAGCAAGCTTCACAAACAACTGAAACCCTTTGCTCGTGCACATCTAGAACATGCTACATGCTATCCAAATGCCACTTCGACAAGTACGTACTCTTGCTGAGATGATTGCCTTTACATTCACAGATTCACAACTTGCCAAAGTGTTTTGGGAGCACCCGGCAGCTGCATTGGGTTTATCGAGTCTACGCCGATACCACTCATGCATACTGTTGCAAACTTGCCTTCATGTCATGTCGTCTTGCAGAGAGTGTTGAGGTACGTGCGCCAGACCGCATTGGTTGTGGAGTCTGGATTCTCCGTCTTCACAGGCAAGGATGCAGTGCGGTGACCTTGACTCGAGGGTGCCACCACGATGCAGGTCTGACATTTGCATTAATTCTCGGTGGGGTGCCTGAGCTCTACTCTTCCTTCTGGCCGCTTTTCTTGCGGGTGCTGAGCTTAGCTTGCATTCAGAACAGCTGCAAGCGCTTAGTGTTGCTCACCACTACGACGAGCTCTGAAGCCCGTTGGACTGCGGTAGCTACAGACCAGCGTTACATGGCCCAATGCCAGCAGACCAGTCTAAACAGCTTCAAAGTGATCTGCTTCGGGCATCCAAACTTGGCTGCAGTTTTTCCCCATTGCCGTCTTCTTCGCTGTGGGCTTGTCGCTTAAGATGATGGCGGTGAACCATTTTCAGGCAGACAGAAGGGGAGCATCAACGTGTGAGGATCTTTCACTAGAAGTGATGCTGCCTGCTGAACCAAATGAATTTCTCCTGAAGTGGATGTCGCTTGTGTGAGAATTAAGCCTGCTGCTTGGAGGCTGGGACAATCAAGATTGTTGGTCAGCTGCGGTCTGCAAGCTTGGCCTTCGCAGCATGCCGGTCAAACGACCCCTCACCCCTCTGTCCTGACATGGGACCGAGGCTTGCATTTGTCGCTTTGGCCTCAACCTTCATTCTTGCTCGAACGTGACCTTGCATCGTTCCATTTCGTTGGCATACAGCACCCGGTGCTCGAGCCGACCAGGTACAGTTCCAAGCAATGGACCGCCATCGCTTTCGTAACGGTTTTCTGCGTGCCACAGACTCGGATGGTTGAGGGATCGGAGGTTGCAGGTCCAAACGGTGAGGGCCTGAAGTGAACTCGCAGTTCAGTATTGGGACGGTTGCTTGCCGTGAGCTTGACTGTCCTCCCAGCCTGCTCACGGAGCTGGCTGGAACCCTGCCTGCATTTTGGAATCCCGAAATTTTCTGAGGCTGTTTGTCCAGCAGAAGGGCCAGGGAAGGCAGACTCGGTACAGAGTGGAAGCAACTTTCGAATCTGTTCGTGCTGTCGAGGAGTCAGCGCGGCAAAGCTTGGAAATGGACCGGGTGCGGCTCCAAGTCCCCATCTCTTGCTGGCCGCACGCTTGTAAGGACTAGTCCAAGGCTGTCGCAGCTCTTTGGATGGGTTTGCATGAATGTCATCGGCGGCATTTTGGCAGAAAAGACGTGCTCCCACTGCCCGAAAATGCAAGTCATGCCAGCAGCGGGCTTTGCAAACGAAGCGCCGCTGAGTTGCAACATGTTGCGCATATCTGGCTGTGCAGGTACAAAAGCAGCGCTGGCCCTTACTACGTCCAAAAAGTGGCTCAGGCAGGATGCCTGCCGTGATCTGCCCTGCCAACATGTGTTTTGCAAGCGTTGCAGGATCTTGGGCACCTGCTGACGTCAACTGTCATGCTTGTGGCCGTGGGTGGCTTGGAAATTCTGCCGGTGCGTGGGCTTGTTCTTCAGGCCGGTAGGGAACAGGATGCCGCTCCATTGGCGAGGTTGTACCACGCTTCGATCCTGGCGAGGAGTTCCATTTCTGCTGCGTGCACGCAGTCACTGTCAGGCTGAAGGCTGTGTGATTCGTGCTCACACCCGTACCATCCAGCTACATGTCGACAAGCAACCGGCAGCCAATGACATGCTGCCAGGAGTGGCATTGTGGGAGAGACGATGTAACATGCCGCATAATCACATAATCATCAGAAGACTAGCTTGGTCACTACCTGTCGATGAGATACAGCGCAACTGCTTCCAGCTGAGTTGGCTCGCAAGCACTCGGAACCTTGACGGTCAGAGACTTGTGGGCATCTGGCTAGGCTAGAACGGCTCAAGTGCACCTCATCATCACTAGCTGGTCAGAAACGGACAGATGCCTCAATGAGATCCAAGGCATTGCAGACGAAGCGCAAACCTCCCCAATCGAATGGAGTTAGTTGCCCGTGCCATCGCTTGCCCTCAAGGCTGTGTGTCTGTGCGTGTGTGTAGTTTCCGACCGGTGACCGGTCCATCTGCATCGGCAATGGAACCCATCCTGGAGACGGAAGAAGCTGAGTCGAGCTTGCGGAGCTCGCAGACGAATTCAAGGTAGCTCGGACCGAAGTCTGGAAGCGCAGGTCTTAATGCAGGCTGCAGGCCGTGTTTAGGAGTCGAATGAACTTGTGCTTGTTCCAAGATGAATAAAGTCACGACAAGTTCGGACTTTCCAGGGCATTGCGGCCTCTTCCATCTTCTGCTCAGTTTGAGGAATTGTCCCGTGCGGGCCTTACTGAATCACAAGGAGTTCCTACAAGACCTTTCAGGTGCAAAGTTGGACAAGTCTCTCCGCTGAGGAAGTCTGGCAACGATCAGGGCTGGCCTCGAAGTGGGCGATCCCAAGTTTGGGATGAGCCAGCCCCTCAGAATCCTCAGAGTAGAGTGTGCCGCTTTCGACCTTCGGATGCAGTGAGCTGCCACGGGTTTCTTGCGCTTCCTCATGTCCCGGAGACCGCTGCCACATGGTTCCGACGAAGCGGTAGTTGCGAGCCGATGATTCAAGACTCAGCTTCGCCAACGCAGCAGCAAAGTAGAGTCGAGCGAACCCGGCCTGGTTTGCGGCTTCACAAGCTGTTCGACTCGCTTGTAGTGTGTTGGCTATGTAGTGAACTCTGATCCTTCGGTTTATGCGTGTCATTTCGCTTGATCCTTTTCCTACATTCAGAAAGCCTCGATTTGCGGGTGGAAGGCCACCAAGTTTCACATTAACTGCCCTCGCTCGTACTGCAGCTTGTTTTGCATTGACAGTAGTCGTTTGTTCTCGACAGGCTGCGTCTACGTAATGTGAAATGAGCGATCGATGATGCTCAGGGGCCTTGCAGCCGGGTCTTTTCTTGTGCCTGTGGCTCAAGAAGAACCACAGTGTAGCACCGTCTGGCACTTGTTCACAGGGTGCTGAAGTAGATGAGGTGGCTACTGGTGTTTGTCTCGCTTGCATTGTCAGCTTGCTCTGAGTCTACAGGTGGCTCCAAGAAATGCAAAGGGAGCTACGCCAACCCGGTGGTGAACCTATGCTCTGAGCATTGGCCTGATGCAAAGTCAACTCGTGTTTGGATGGTCGTTTTCTACACCTCGTGGTGTGGGCATTGTCGAGCTTTGGAGCCAAAGTATAAGGAGCTCGGAAAGCTTTTGAAGAACGACAAATCAATTGGCATCGGTGCCGTGGACTGCGATATTGATCGGGCCACCTGCTCCAAGTACGGGGTCAGCGGCTTTCCTGCTCTGAAGGCAATAGTAAGTGGCAAGGGTAAGTCATACAATGGAGCCAGGGAAACAGAGCCGATGAAGGCATGGATCGAAGGTATCGCAAAGAATCGAGGTACAAAAGGTGGCAGCGCCAAGTGTGCCGTCGGACTTTTCAAAAGTCGAGTGAAGGATGCCGTGGTACCGCTTTGTGAGGAGCATTTTCCAGATGACAAGGCAAAGAACGACTGGCTCGTCCTTTTCTATAACTCCAAGAGCAGCGCAAGCACGGATCTCAAGGAGGTGCTGCACAGGCTCGCTGTCGACTTGGGCAATGATCCACCCGATATGAGCAAGTCGCTCAAAAAGCCAAAGAAAAAGCGTGAGAGACTTGAGTCCTTGGCGGAGAAGTACGACTTTGCGGTGGACTTGCCGAAAAAAGGCCCGTTTGGCATGGATGCTTTGGCGAAGGTGGGCGGTGTCTGTTGCGACTGCAACGAGGATGCAGTGGCATTCTGTGCTAGTTCACTCAGGATTGGTGAGGAGGATGTGCAGGCTCCCCAAGTTTTCTGGGTGTCCAAGGGTCATCGCGAGCTGTTGAAAGATGCAGATATGTCGGCACCAAGTCTCAACAAGCTTGCAGTCACGAAGCTGGGATTCGTTTCCGGCGGCGCCCGTGCCAGCCAGGGCGGTGAGCTCTGAGTGCCGGTGCCAGGTAGCATGGCTTCAGTCGCTTTTCGAGTCGCCCATCAAGCGACCGAAATCGGCCGAGGAGGGCGAGACTCGCAGTCAGTGGATTTTGTCCACAGCCATACAGCGGCAGTGTGGCCACAATGTGCCACAATCTAGTCCGCAAAGACAGGGTATCGGCCAAAAGTATGTAGTCTAGATTTGGAGGAGACATGATTATCTGGTGCTGTGCAAAGTGCTCAGCTGCTTGGCTTACCTTCTCCACAGACGGTCTTCCCAGTGGGCTGAAACCCTTTCTGCATCGGCCGTTTTGTCCTCTCAGCAGTTTCACAGAAGCAAGGCCCCCTGCCTGTGCAGGAAACGAGACCACTGCTGCAGCATGCCGCAGCAAAACCAAAAAGTATGCAAAAGAGCCGTGCGCACGAGCTTCAAAAGCCTGATCGTAGATGCCCCGCACGGAGCACGTGCCAGACATGCGTGGCATCAATGTTGCAAGCACCATTAATTAGGCCCCGCTGAACGGTGCACTCTCCACTTTTGCATTGTTTTATTTATCGGCCTCGTAATTCACCTCGATCCCGGCTGTGCAGAAACGCACGAGGACGCGCATGTCGCACTGTCGCATCATCAATTAATGACTTTGCCAGGTGCATGGAAGCGCAGATTCGGATCTGATGCCTTCTCTGTAGAGTCCAAAAATGGATCAGTCTTGTACGTCATAGTGATGCCGTCGCGAAGCGCAAGGCAGCGCACCTCTGAAACTCACGGGCGATATTGCAGGGACAAAGACTCTCAATTGATGGAGGAGGTCTCAGGTATCGCATTTTCTGTGTCGACCGGACGTCACGTTTGACATGTAGCACCGGTTAGGCAAGCAGGGCGAGTGCGTGTGTGTGTGTGTGTGCACTAGCTCACTAGCAGGCTCATCCACGATAGAAACGCTGCCTGAATTGGTGCTCAAGCTAAGGTCTGCAAGAAGCCAAGGAAGTATATCTGAAGGTGGAGGACCTGACTCCCACTCAAACCAGTCAGTCAACACGTCTGCGACTGTATTTATCTTCTTTTGGTATCCTGTATTGCTTAATTGCTTACTTGTTAAGGGGGGTTTGTTAACAATTGGTTTTCATGCTGCGAAGGTTGGTGGGTCGGAAGGACCGACACAGAAAGAGAGACAGAGAGAGCTGGAGAGAGAGAGAGAGAGAGAGACCTGCTTCCACGGGTGTCAGCACTGGGGCACATGACTTCCTCTCCGTGCACACGCCCGTGTGTAGCCAAGCCCATCTGTCCAATATGGTGCCTGTTCTCCAAGCATCTCCAAGCTCCTGAGCAACGTGGAGAGAGAGCGAGAGAGAGGGAGTTAGTGTTCAGGGGTTCAGGGGGTTAAGGAGTTGTCAAGCCTCGGGCCTCAACAGTCTTTTCACGCAGAGACGACGGAGGACAGGGCGCTCGTGCTCTCGCTCTGACTGTGCTAAAGAAGAGAGAGAGAGAGAGAGAGAGACAGGGGTTGGCCTTCGGGCCGGGGGTTTTGGCCCCAGACCCCTCGTAAGCAAGCAAGCAAGAGAGAGAGAGAGAGAGAGAGTCCTATTATGCCCTTCGTGTGGTATGCTTTTGCTCATCCTGAAAAGTTGCCTTCGTAGTGAGGTTGTGTCACTCCCGCCCCTCCAAAACGGTCGGGGGCGCGACAGCGCGCGGGCTAGGAGGGCTTCCTCCTGGCCCACAGCCCCGGCGAAAGAAAGAGAGAGAGAGAGAGAGACAAAGAGAGAGAGAGACAGAGAGAGAGAGAGAGACAGTCATTCAGGGGGTTTTTCCTTTGTAAAGCCGAGCCTCCTATGGGGAAGCCGTAGGAGGAGCAAAGACGCCCCAAGGACTGCGGGTGGGCGCTCGCGCGCAGGTGGGGGGCTGGACCGCCCTTCTCCCTTTTCCCCGTCGAGAGCGAGAGAGAGGGAGCGACTGCTTTCTCCTTGACTGTGTGGAAGAAGAGAGACAGAGACAGAGAGAGCTTCCGCATTTTGGGGGGGCTCAGGAACGTCGCTTGCTGCAGAGTTGTGGGCCGACCTCAGGCTAGGAGATAGGGTGCACTTGCAAGCGTGTCAGTAAGGGGGCACGAGGCTTGATCTTCAGGTGAGTTGGGGGGTGTTGGGGGTATAGGGTTAGTGGTTTGTGTTCGGGCGACCAGTGAGCGCATCCGTGCCACCCTTTGTGCCAGCCGTCAAGACCTCCACTGCACATACCCGAGCGGGGCCCGCTCGGAAGAACAGTCCCCTAGCTGTGCTGAAGAAGAGAGTTTCCGGCCAAAATGGTGGATGGGGCGGCGCAAATCATGCGGCCCGCACATGGCTCATGCATCAGAGAAGGCCTTCTGGCTGTGCCCAAGAGAGAAGAAACAAGATTTCAAGACAGACTGAGACAGAGACACGGACCGAGAAAAGGGACAGTTCGAGAGGAACGAAAGAGGGAAATAACAACAAACAGCCGGAAGGAAACAACAAAGTTAAAGGACGTCAGAGTATTGCTTTGGTCATCATTGATCATATTGCTAGATGTTGCCACAGTACCCACATGCAGTGGTACCGATTTTCGCGTTGCTATTGCTACCGTATCCATTTCTTGGTGCAGTTGTATTCTGTTGCTTACTGCTTTGGGGGTTTACGTAGGTTGCCGGGTTAGGGAATGC